TGCAAGAGGAGGCTGAGGGGGAACCTGGTGGCTGCCTACAAACTCATCAGGGGAGATCAACAGCAAATAGGCAGAGCCCTTTTCTCCCCAGCACCACCTGCGGTGACGAGGAACAGTGGTCATAAGTTGATGGAGAACAGGTTTAGGTTAGAGATCAGAAGGCAATATTTTACAGTTAGGGTGGCCAAAATCTGGAACCAACTTCCCAGGGAAGTGGTCCTCACCCCTACCTTGGGCAAATTCAAGAAGAGTTTGGATGATCACCTGTTTGGGGTCTTGTGAACCCAGCATTCATTCCTGCCTGTGGCAGGGGGTCAGGCCAGATGATCTGTTCAGGTCCCTCCTGACCCTAGCTACTATGAAACTATGAATGAGAGTAATGGTGAAGGGTGATGACATGGTTGTGTCATAGCTTTCCATTTCCTGAGATCTACTTAAAGTATTTGTCTGGTTGCCTCTTGACATACGTGCTTTCATGGCCCTGATCACCCAAACATCTAAGTGAATGTCCCAAAACAGAGCAGCTGTCTAGATTTTGATTCAAATAGCGTAGAAATGATCCAGAGTTTAGCAGGACCAGGATCTGTGCTTATTTTGGTAGAGACAATGATATCTTGTGTCAGTGAGTTCTACAGGCTAATTATACCTTGTAATCTACACTTGACAAGCTGGACAGAGAACCTTGTCTTGCACTATCTGTACTTTATTTGTGGAGCACTTTTCCTGAGCACTATTTAAAATAGAAATAATACAATATAAACTCCCACAACAACAGCTGGCTGAAACCTAAGGTTTCTGATTCACTGGACTTTTTTTTACTTTAGTTTCAGTCCAAATTGTACCTAAACCAAAATTAAAAAAAAAATTCTAGCAAATTGGAAGGTCCCCAGCCCTTGTGGCTGCTCAGGGAAATTCATGTTGCTGTCTGCATCAATTCCACTGAATAACTCCAGGGGGTTTCCAGGATCAACAGCTCCAAGACAGACCCATCAGACAGCATTGAACAGAGAAGTTTCAAGTAAAATTTTGGGGGTTCAGATAACCAGAAGACAAAACTTTGTTTCTTCAGAAAAGTTCTGACCAGCTGCGTTCAGAATATACTTCATCAAGACAGTGAATAGAGGCAGGGTGTTTCACACAGGCAGAGGAAATGAATATAGAAAGGAGAAAGGAAATAAAGCTGAGATTTAAAAGCAGTTCAGATGAAGGTGCAAGTATTCTTACAGAGTACTTACTGTATCTGAGGCACGGAAAGGTGAGTGGTGCCTATTGTCAATCTTGGGATACTGCAAAAAGGCAGATCCCTATGTATGATTGCATGGTACATGATTGACAGTAATTCAGCAATTGCCATTCTGGCAGCTATAGATAAAATGCATGAACATATGTATAATTTCTGAATGATTTGAAGGCATTATCTTGAGCATAAATAGTGACTTTAAAACGAAGATCAAATCAGTGTGAAATAGAGGGCAATCTGGTTTCAAAGCAGTGCGCCATATCAGCATAGCACAAAGCTGCTGTAATGTACCCGATGTAAAAGAATTGTGTTTTATTATAATTCAAGTCCTCACTTAAAGGCATGGTGTTTGGGGATACTGAGCTAATTTGACCACTGCATTGGAGTTTGTACCTGGTTATGCTACTTGAGTGGGGGGCTGGACTAGATGACCTCCCAAGGGCCAGCCCTATTTTTCTATGATTGTATGCCAGCAGTTAAAATGGGAAGCTTGATGTAAAAACTGTTCTTGCACGTTCAGGTTGGATGGAGAGTAATATTGCTGTTCATTTCACCCATATTAGCACATCCCCACAGGCAAGTTCTAGCCAGTGATTAATTACAAATAAAAAAGAATTAGGAATGTCAAGAAAAACATTGTGAAATGTGAAAATTGTATCAGCACCATAGCTAATGTTGAGACAAGCTTTTAACAATGGAGGAATGAAATAGTTGTTTTTAACCTGTGGACGATTTAATCAAGCCCCCAGATTTTATGCTAACTATTCCAAGAGCCACTGAACTTTTAAGAATATATTTGTTCTAAGAATTAGTCACTTGGGTAGCAGCAGTGTTGAAATAATGCTCCCTGTTTGAAATTAAGTCAGCAACTGAGCATTTTATAGATTCCCCCCTAGGAAGTTATAAGCACCAATCTTCTCTGTCTCTCTATCTCTTTAACGCGCACACCCACATACCCGTGCCCTGCATTACAAGTTACAGATTCCTGTATGGAAGATTGAGCCACCATAGCATTTCTATCTCCTGAAAAGGTAGCTGACAGAGCTGTCTGGCTGCTTTCTGTTTCCAGCACTACCTGTCAAGTCTCCTAGGCTCAACCTCTGGGCTTACCACAATGCCTTGGAGAGAGAAGGAGAATTAGGGGCTCTATGGTTGTCTGCAGGGCAGGGAATACAGGGCCTGGCAGTTTCTTTTGGTAAGAGTGTCAGTGGGGAAAACAGACATAAGGGAGGTCTGGGGGTCATCTATGCCACTTCTCAGCAATGTTCTTAGCTGCTGGGCCAGATGACCCAGTTTGAGTCTAAGATGGGCCAGCACCCGGACCCAACTGGTACTGCCACCACTTCTCCCCATTACCCCATTGTGGCACTGGCAAAGCGCCTGGGCATGGCATGGGCTAAGTGCCCTACTGTCTGCCTGTGGTGGGCTCAGTGGCTCCACTGCTGGATGTCACTGAAGCCCCCCAGCTCTCAGCTGAATCCAATGGCTCTATGGCCTGGATCTGGCTTGTGGGCTGTAGATTGCTGATGCCAGATCCATACCATCCAATCTATGGCTCTCCCAATACTGTCTTCCCCATTTCCTTCCCCTTTACACATTGCACTTCAGGTCTGAGGAACCTTCTGTGGTTCAGCATAAAAAGACTGCTGTTGGCGAACTGCACATGGTTCAGAGTTATCTAAGATGTAGCAATGATAGCACCTATCCACTGGGATAACCTGGTCCCTTGTCAAGTTTGCAAGACAGGGAGTGTGTGAGTATGAGCGCAGGAGGATCTCTTATCCCAGGAGCAGAGCCGGCAGCCCTGCTGCTCAGATGACAACTCCTGCTGGTGAAGCACATGCAGAATTTTGCAGGAAACTCCTTGCTAGGAGGATGTATTGACTACTACCCTTATTCTGTATTCACTGTTAGCTCTTTCTTTACATATACAATCTCCAGTGGGTTAACTGCTCACAGTTATAAAGAAAAAATGGGGCTCTTGTTGGGTTTGCCAACTAGTGACACATGTCAGATATTTCTGCTGGTGAAAGGGACCTTTGTGCTTTATCTTGCTATGTTCCTTTGGGACTTTAGAGCCAGATTTTTTAAACCAAGTTCCTATATAGCACCTGCACACCTGGGGGAACAGGTATTGGTATGCGTCACCCATTATGCATGTACAACCCGTACTTTGTGCCCCTGCTTACACCTGGTTGCAGCAGCTGCCTTCTGAACACAGGTCCTTAACATATAATAATTAGGTATAATTTTGCTCCCTCAGAATGATCAGAGCCTATATCTCTGCTTTACCTATAGAGGAGCTTTTTGACACACATTGTACCTATAGATTCCTTGCTTTTTGACACACATCTTTGGTTCCAGTATATTGTGAGTCTCCAGAGCTAGATAGTCATAGCAAGTTGGCTGTTACATAGAACTTATTAGAAGTTCTTAAATGCACCGACATCCTTCCAGAACAGCTCTTCCCAGTTTCTAACTATTCAGTCCAAGAACAAGGAGGCTAGAGGGCAAGACTGCTGCCTCCTTTTTGTAACCTTTTAGTTGTCTGACACGTTTTTCTGGATTAGCAGGCAATACTTCACGTTCTTGTACTCTGACACAGGCCAGGGATGGAAAACTGCTAGCAGTAGCATATTCTGAAAAAGGGTTGATTCAAAAGCACTTGTGAAACTTGTGAGGTTGCAATTCTTAAAAATGGCCACAACCATAAACACTCCCTTTTGCTAGTTTGCATTTTTGCTTTTAGCCTGAGTCATGGAGCGTTATTCAAGGTCCCACCCAGAAATGTCTTTTTTTCACACTGCCTTGACTGTCCTCAGCTGTATCACAAGCTGTGGCACTGTGTACGGAGCAGTTGGAAGGGTGTTGGCTGCCTGTGTAGGCATACCCAGCGTTGCATCACTTTATCTGGTTGGAATAACAGTGCAGTGAAAACTGAGCAGCCTGGATTGTACAAGTACACCAGAGACCTTGGATACTTATTCAGGTGACCTCTGTGCTTTTACATTGTTACCCAAGCTATCAAAGGTATTATCCTGGTTATGGCTACACGTGCTGTGATCCCATCTCCCGACTGCGGAGAGGACAGAGCCTGCAACAGATTCTCTGTTGTGTCCAGTCATTTCTGAACGTGCGTAGGGGAAGAGGAAGGCAGCAGTGCAGCTTCATGTGTCTCTCTGAGTTTCAGGCCAGCTCGACAACATGGCACTGCTAAATGCACCAGCTGGGAATGCCCTGGTGGGACACTCCACCAACCCAAGATATCCAGAGCACACAGCTCCTTCCTAGCACGCTGCCTACTCCAGGGACTGGAAGAAGTGGTGTAGGCAGTGGCTATACTGGCTCTCCTCCCCCACTTCAGAGAATCTGGCCTATTTCCAATTCTGGCAGGGGAAATACCATGACCACTAGTTTTCCTAGTTGCAGGGGAAAACCACTTTCTTGGCAGGGGGTAGTACCCTGACTGAGGTAATGCATAGATAACTCCCCACTTCCACTTCCAGTGGGAAGATCTCGGCTATACATCGATTTTATGGAAATGGGAGCCTCCTCCCTAGCTTGTTCCTGCGGCCGTATGGCTGAAGGCAAGTGAAACTTGGGGGCATCTGAACCTCAAGTCTCTGGGTTTGGGCCTGCATGTAGGATGCCCACCAAAGCATCTGAAGCTCCGGGTGGGGGTGGAGGATGCTTGCTGGTAGCAGGGCCACATATGGTTCTTGAATGACTCACGGATATGGAATTGATTTGGCTTGGGACATGAAAAATTTTCAAAATTAAAAAAAAAATCTGGCCTATCTTCCATCAGAGGGCAGTGGTAAGGGGATACAGATAAAATGTCTGTTTTACTTTGCTGCTCCATCACCAGTTTCAATTAGGTAATGGTCTGAAATAAAAGAGCAGGGCAGTGAGAAGTGCTTTAAGAAAATAAAGTGAGATGTTTTCCAAAGCTGTTCTTTGCCTGCGTAACCTTTATCGGGTCATATAAAAATGCAATATAAACTCTCTCTCTCTTTCTCTCTCTCTCTCTCCAAGGAAACAACACTGAGCCAAGTGCTCCTTGAGGGCTTCCATTTCTTAGTCTCTCAGGTACCTCTGGGGGGAAAATGGCGCTTTGAGCAGCTTTGAATTCAATGTTCCCTTCAGCCCTCGGCCCTTCTGTTTCAATTGCTTGGGAGTATTATTTTAATCATGACACTTTGCAGACTGTTGTCTTTAGAGAAGGGTCTTTACAAAAAGCTTATGTGGAAAATGAAACAAAATTAACAAAAAAGGGTTTCATGGTTCAAAAAGAAAGACAAAGAGTGAAATTAGGAAATTAGCATCAAAGGTGAAACCAACATGAATGTTGTCTTCATCCAGGTTGAGTGGAACCTAAAAATGGAAGGAACAACATAAATTAATAAGATATAGTTCAAACATCAGGGCATAAAGCCAACTTCTAATTTTTGGTTGCAGAGGAAGGACATTTTCCAGGAGGGGAACTGGAACAGACCATTGTTAAAGGACACTGGATGAGGTGGGCTAATGGTTTGATTGAGTCTGTCAATTCCGATCTTCTTTGAAGGGTTTTTGGTTGCAGCCATGCTGGTCTAAGGACATAGGCAGGCAAGCTTCTTTGGGAGATGTGATATCTTTTATTAGACCGACTAAGTATTTGGAAAAAATGTTCTTTGCAAACTTTCGGGCACAAGCACTCCTCTTCGGGCACAGGGAGTTTCTGCTGCAGTGGCGACTTGTAGGGGGTGCACGGGGATGCACGTGCACCCCCTGAGAGCACTGGCGCACCCCCTGACAGGCAGTGTTCCCCACTTAGGTGATGGGCAGGCAGGACTGCGGGTGACCCCCTGAGAGCGCCGACCAGGGAGTGGGTGCACCAGGAGATGCACCGCTGGGCCTTCTGTGTACGCTGCTGGCACTTCTGGTAGGCATGATCGGCTGGGGGGGGGCACCCCCCCCCCC